GTGTTCCCCCAGCCATATCCCGAGTTCTGTGCGTGCCTACTCCCCATTATTGCAGGAGTTGGCACTTTTTCTGTAAAGAGCCAGACAGTGAATATGTTAGGCTTTGAGTTCCACCTGCAGTCTCTGTCACACAGCTCAACTCTGCTGTTATAGTGCAAAAGCATTCCCAAACGATACAGACGGAGGAGCATGGCTGTGTCTCAATAAAACTTTATGCATAAAAACAGGCAGTGGACTGAATTTGGTCCACAGATCATAGTTTGCAGACTTCCACAATATTTCAGTCCTTTCTGCCTGAACTGCTTACATAGTGTTTTCTGTCATCCTGACTGATGCACTATCTGCAATATCCATGAATATGGCTCTTCCCCTCCCTCCTTAGTGACTCTGCCTTAGTTCAAGCCCTCGTCTTCTCCTACTGAAGCCAGTGGGCCTTGGCCTTGGTGGTTCCATCTGGAGTCTTTGCCTCAATCCACAGCTCACTCACACTGCTATGCTGTCCTGTGACTCCTGTGCAAACTCCTTCGTGGCCCTGCATCCCTCCTCGGTTACCTTGTGCCAGGCAGGGTCCCAACGGGAAGCGGGTAACACAGTCAAGTTAGGATCGTGTCAGGTGGGCTTCTTTACAAAGGTGGCCCGGGTTAGGGAACCACGGGCACCGCGTGGCCCCTCAGGATGGGTGTAGGGAGCAGGCGTAAGAGCCCAAAAGAAGGGAGTTGTCCAGAGCAGGGCTTCTCCCACCATCTGTGCTGACGGACTAGGTTTGAAGATTTTGTTTTATTTTCGTTTGAATTTTTTTTAAATCTAATTTTTTTCAGCCAGTACTTTTATAAAATAGAATTTAAAATTAACTATTTGGAAAAAAGGAAATGTCAAGACATGAAATACAAACCCCAGGTTTTTTGTTTTTTTTTTTAGTATTAGATTCAACAGATAAAATACCTCCTGTCAAATTGCTATCCAAGTTTCTAAACTCTTACTCTTAATTTCTGTTCTTACCTCATCATGAGGCCAAGACAGCCTGCAGGGAAGGGATCGGTGGCATTAACTCCCCAACCTTACTCCACCAACGAGCCCAGCCAGAAACCAGACAGCAGGAGACACCATTCACAGGGCCCATGCCGGTCAGCCTCCCGGGGCAGAGAGCGGGGTGCAGAAGGTAGAGGAACAACATAAGCGATCCCAGCCCAAGACCTGCCATAAGCCCATTTCCCACTCTGACTTCAAGTGGTCCAAGATCTTATCCACCCACCCCCATCTCTTTACACATACAGTTTCAATGCCTGGGAAGCTTCCAATTTCGCTCCTGGCCAAGTCTTGCTCATGGTTCAGGACCACAGAATCATAATGGTTTGGGATGCTCGTGACATTTTTCTATCCATCTCTTTTCAGCAGCAAACCCCACTTCCCTAGCTATGGAGTGGCACACGGCCAACATTCAGCTAATGGGTTCAGTTATTTAACAAGTATTTACTGAGAACATTGTATGTGCTGCTCTAGAACAGGTGTGCTGGCCTTGATCCTACTGTTCTAGGCAACCAATACAGCACTGAACTAAAGACAAATCCCTGCACTCATTCAGATAGGAAAACAACGTATTTGCATGTCAGGTGATCATCATCATCCTTCCCAGAACTGGTCTGTGGACATTTAGAAAGCAAAGTTCCTCTTTTCCTCTCGGGAGGCCAAGCCAGGAAGGCATGCCTGTAGCCCTCTTCCCGGGCCATAGTCGGAAAGTCTGTCTGCCATAAAAGACTGACTCACAGGGGGAAGGACTGAGATGCTGAAATGAAAAGAAAGCACCTTGATTGTATTACTTGACTCCTAGATCTCGCCGAGCCTGAAGCCGACACCCGAGTGTCGCTGTTACATGAGCCAAGAAGTTTCTCTTTTTGCTTAGGCTTATTTGGGTTGGATTTCTGTCACTTGGAACCAGATGAGTCTGACAGGGACTTAGCTCAAACTTTACCTTCTGGATATTTTTTGAACACCTGGTACAAGTCATGTATTCCAAATGCCATGAGCACATACAGATGGGACATCTATCTTGGCACTTCACGTAAGAAATCAAACAGGGCCCTGGCCGGTTTGGCTTTCTCAGCCAGCTCCAATGATCTGTGCTCACCAATCTCCTCCTCCTCTCTACAATCAACCACTGCATCTTCAGTGCACATTCAGTAGAAAACACAAAGCAGCACTTACAGTGAGACCCTATTTGTTTTCAGGAACTTTATATGAAATATTAGGTCAATAGAGAAAAAAGACACCAAGATGTGATTGTCTGTTATAGATGATGGATTTGGAGTGATTTTTATTCCTTTTTATTCCTTTTATTGCTGTTCTCTAAATCTTCTACAAAAGTTAGACATAAGGAAGAAAGAAAATAAAACACTAACATTTTTTTAATAACCAACAAAAAAAATCTGCTAAACCTGAAAGCCTGTGTTTTCCTGGGTGACTTAAGCCCCGTTTCCCTCCCTTACCCCAGTGGCCTCTAAGCTGCCACCCCAGCTTTTTTCATTACACCCACAGCTCACCCAGGGCTGATGCCAAGGGAGGAATTTTAATTCCTGGGAGGAAGCTCCAGGGACAAAGAGCAGGAGTGGCGGGGGGTTTTCCCAAGTCAGCAGTCCTAGCTGGTATCATCTCTGGACTCTGAGGGCATCAGCCACTGAGTCAGAGCCCTCTGAACGGTGGGACCTGCAACCTCACCCCACCTTTCGACACCACCTTTCGAGAAACCACCACCCTTGTCCCTACCCTGGCCTTACTCCCTCTTCCTGCTGCAGAATTCTAGTAACTGGAAGTAGTCCTAGGAACGACCTCTCCCTTGGCAAATCCCACATTCGTGGTTAAGGGGATAAGGTTTTGAAAGCCAAGCTTTTTCTGATATTCAGCACACACATGTCTGATCTTTCCTAGCTCAGAGGAATAAAAGCTGGAGACCAATGTACTGGCCAACAGTGGTAACTGCTCCCTCCAGCCTTGGCAATAAATTCAGCCCAGAATAATGTGAACCCAGGAGCAACTCCCAGATGCTTGGTGGTTTATTCAGAATGCAAATCATAAACGCCCAGGAAGCTCCAGTCTGCTCTGCAAGGGATTTCCAAGTGACTCAACCCAGAGCCTCAGCCATTCCCAGAATCACAGCCCCATTCCCTGACATGCAGAAGCCAGCCTCACCAGAACTGTTGTCCCCGTCTAGGAAGGGTGTGCTGGCTGGTTATTCCCGGGATCTCTTGGGCGCCACAGAGGAAGATCACTCGAGGCGAAGAGCCCCCAGCCCTGCCTGACTCCCACGCCTGTGAGCGAGCAGCCCACCAGGAACCAGACTGCAGCCGTCTCAGGCAGGACTCTAACAGCACGGGGGTCTTTGCCAGGATTCGGAGGACAGGGCAGAGTGATCACAAGCCCCACATGAAAGCAAACGGTGTCAAGCACCTCATTCTTAGCGCTGCTCTCTACTCTGGGGCTGGGGTAGGGGGAAAGTGTGATCACTAGAGTAGTCATATCATCTACTGTCCACAGGGGACATTTTGGAGAAGGAAAGGAGATGCTATTAATAGCTACGCCAGGATGACAGAGGTCAACAGGAGAAGCGCGGACAAACCAGGATGCATGGTAACCCCAGAGAACATCTTCCACTCCTGGAGCCAATTTAGGGGTCTTGCTGGGCTCGTGCCCTTTTCCAGAACATGTACCACTGAAGAAAGTCCTGTTCACCACTGTATCTCCTGGGCTAAGAACAGTGCTTGGCAGACAGTAGGTGCTCAGTAAATATCTGAATTAACGAATGAATGCCTGAACAGAGTTTCTAAAGTCACCTGAACTCCAGGAAACCAGAGAGATGTGGCAAATCCTAGGTAACATACAAAAGCCTTTGAACTCTAAACTGCTGCAAAAATCTAAGGCATTGCAGAGACTGCCATGCACTTCCCTTTGGCGGAGTTTATACTCTTGAAATGTGCAAAACTTTCAAATACCAGATGGGCTGAAACTGTCAACTTCGACAGATAAACTCATTAGAAACAAATGACTTTGAAGCCACTGCTGAACTAAACTGGAACAACGTCCTGCAATATTTCCAATGTGATTTCATTCGAAATTTTCAAGGCCACAACCGGGACTGAATGAAGCAAGTGCTTACCACACACATTGGAATTCCTCTAACTCCGTCCTCACTGTGTGTAAGTTCTCTGCGGGGCAGGTGCCAGGGTAGCACTGGATTTGCAAGACTCCATGGGGGGCTGTCTGGGAAGGCTAAAGGAGCCGGCAGGGAGAGCTCTCAGAACATGACACAGGTAGGACACCTGGGAAAAGAGGAGGGAGCAGCAGCTCGGACCTGATACAGTTCTAAGAAAGTTTCAGCCGAGTGGATGGGGCATCCTCCAGCCAAGGTTGCCCAGTGGAGGGGTCCCTCGTCCCACAGCAATGGGCCGGCACAGTGTGACAGGGCAGCAGAGGGGCGGCGGCTGGGCGCTCCGTCCACTGGGCTCCCACAGCACCAGTTCTAAGGAAGAGATGCTTGGGCTATCCCACACACAGATGGGTTTTGTTTGTTTGTTTGTTTGTTTTGGGGGGCGTGCATTTATTTTCAGATAGAGCGGGAGGGAGAAAGGGGGTAAAAGAGAGAGAGAAACATTGACGTGAGAGAGACACACTGACTGGTTGCCATCCGCACAACCCCAACCAGAGCTGGGGACAAACTGCAACCAAGGTACATGCCCTTAGCGGGAACCGAACCCGGGACTTTCCAGTCCGCGGGTCGACATTCTAACCGCTGAGCCAAACCGGCCAGGGCCCACACACTGTTTAAAATAACATTCTCCTTGGCATGGCTCTTGTTTTCTGTGAATCCAAAAGGCTCTGGTGAATTATGCCAGCTATCAGTTGAACACTCCGAGTAGACAGCAGGAAAGCTATCCCACCACCACCATCTTTTCCTCCCAAGTGCTATGACTTTCATTCCATTCGTCCACATAAAATTTTTTCATAGAATCTCAATGACAAGCTTTTAGTTAAAAAATAGAAGTCTAGTCTTTTATTTTAATATTTCCAAAGAATCAAGCTCATCCTGGGCACGGTGCCTGTCCAGGGGTACTTGAAAAGGACGCATTTAGTCCCCATCATCCATCATCCAGCAGTAAACTCTTTATGGGGTTAGGTCTGCAGTTGTTCACACAGCTCTTGGTCAATCATTGACTGCGATTTTGGTCCAGAAGCCATCCAAAGAGAGCAAGGGTTGAGCCATTCTTAACTCATCCCTAGATGAAACATCTTCCGCAGAAAGGCTGGTCCTCCCCAGTAACCCCTGTAAGAAAGGACAGGGAAAAGCTATTTGCCTCAGAAAAGATAGGAGTGGCCCTAAACTGCATGTTAAAAGGAAAGCCAGACTGCACACGGAACATGCTTAGGAGCACAGAGAGCGAGATCTGTCTAGCGAGATAGAAAGATCCTATGACTAGAAGGAACGACCTGCTTCGAGGTCTGGTTTTGGCACTAACTCACTGTGTGAGCCTGGATATACTGACCCAGTTCAGCAAAGCAGTACGAAACCTCTCCTACATGCAAACTGCAATCCTCTTGGCTTTCATTTGCTTTTAAATAAAGTATAGGTCTGGGTTTCTCAACCTTAGCCCTCCTGGCATTTTGGACCAGGTATTTTTTGTTGGGAGGCCGCCCTGTGCACTGTATGGTGTTCAGCAGCACTGTGGCCTCTGCTCACTGGATGCCAGTAGCATTCCCTCCAGTCCTGACAACCAAATCTGTCTCCACATATTGCACATGTCCCCTGGGGGGCAAAACCACCCTGGCTGAAAACCACTAGTATAGATGCCCTGACTTACCTATCTCACAGTGGTTTGGATAAGTCAAATGAGGTTGTCATTTTTTGGAACCAAGAAGAGAAATTAATAACTTTTATTACTCTATTTATTTACTGAATGCCTACTATGTAGCTGTCTTTTGACGTGGTATTTCATGAATCCTCACCCTCTGAGGTTGCTTTTATTTGCAGATAAAAACTTAAACACAGAGAGGTTAAGGAACTTGTCCTAAGACAACAGCTAGTGAGTGACAAACGCATACTCAGAACAGGCCTGATCCCATGCTTATGCGGTTAATCGCTGTTTTATTTTTCCTAGTAACACAATAAAAACCAAAGTAAGGTAGCAGATGAAAAAGTATTTTAACATGTGAAAATGATCACTATTATTCTTTATCCAGCAGCAAGAAAATAGCCAGAACATGAAAGATAGAAGACTTGGTCGCTGCCAATAATGAAGAGAAGAGGCTGCACCCCCTGTGGGTGGTGGACACAGATCCCTTCCCTCACCCAGGGCAGCCTCTCTCCCAAGTGTGCCTAAGGCTTTAGCATCCTTCACAGGCTGCCATCAGCAAACCATGAGGAATGACACAGCAAGGTGGTTCCCATTCGCCAGTCCTACTGAGTCATGATTTCTCCTGCCCCCACAAGGCCTTCTTGGAACATCCCCCCAGCACAAGTGGGTGCAACATGCTAAAGGGTGTGCCTCTCCCCCTGCGATGCACTTACCTTAGCATCATATTCCAGTACAGGTAGGGCATCATGTCGGCCTTCATGAGGTACATGGACAGTCTCTCTTTGCTCTGGTCAAAGGGGAAGGTCTCCAGTGGCTGACCATTGTAGTCAAACTCCGCAAGAATCACACGGTTGTAGGCAGTCACCAGAGGACATGACGTGTAGCCATCATACTAAAATTATGCATGAGACTGAGTTGAAAAGTGGCTTTTTTTAGAATTTACCCTTTTACCTGAGCAGTTGCAATTTTTTTTCTTTTTTTGTATATTCTAATTTTTGTACACTGAAAAATGGAGATTATATAACAAAAAGTAGTACTAAAGGCAAACACTGAAATGGCCATATTGGAGAAGCTAATTAAGAAAGTGGCAAAATTGTAAGAAAATGTTTTCACGGGGAATGGAAGACGACAGTTGAGACAGTGACTCTTACAAACCTTCTTCACTGATGTTTCATTCTTCATAACCTGAGAAATTGTCCTGTCGAGGATTCCTGACTGGGCAGCTATAAGAGAAGTGAAAAAGTCAGAAAAATACAAGCATCTAGGTTTTCCACGAAAATGAATTCACAGATAACTTTAACGTGAACCAGTTATGAAGGCTCCATTCCCCATCCTTGTAACTTTTAACTAGAATACAGCTCTCACTGTTTGAAGTTCCGGATGCCAGAAGGGGTCCTTCCAAAGGCCCACACAGATGCCTCCATCAGTTTGAAACTGACAAGCCGTTCTCTCCAGCAGGACTGGCAATTTTAAACAAAGGCACTATAAGGGTGGCCACACCCCAAGCCCACTCCCCCTCCTCTTAGGGTTCAGTGGGTAGATGTGTCCAGTATCACCTGCCATCTGGGAGGCCCCTGTATCCAACCTAGATTAATAGCCCTAGGAACATCAATTAGGTAAAACAGCGAGCTATCCTCTGTACTAAACTGCCCTGTCTGAGGATTGACCAGATAAGGACAGACAGACAGACATAGATGATTGATAGATAGATAGATAGATAGATAGATAGATAGATAGATAGATAGTTTTTGTTTTTTGGTGGCAAGAATGGAAGACTGCCTTTTTTACTATGAAAGTTTTCCAACTCGGTCATTCTTGTTTCATCCAGCCCATCACAAATACCACTTTTCTTTCTGGAGTATTTTTATTTTTAGAGCAAACATCCTAACAATTCACCCATAAATATTTCTGTGTATATCTCTGAGAGAGGAGTGATTTTTTTTTTTTTCCTTTATTGAGTTTTAAAGAGAGGGGAAAGGAGAGGGAGAGAGAAACATTGATGAGGACATCGATTGGCCGCCTCCAACATAGCCCCCACTGGGGATTTAGCCCACAACCTAGGCATGTGCCCTGACTGGGAATCGAACCAGTGACCTCTTGGTGCATCAGTCAATGCTCAACCACTGAGCCACACCAGCCAGGCGGAGTGATTTTTTTTTAAAACATAAACATAACATGTTTACACTAAAAATTCTAGCAATAAGTCCTTAATATCATCTAGTACCAGTTTGCATTCAGTTTTAAATTGGTGGTTGTCAGATGGGAGGGCGGTTGGGGCAGCTGGGTAAAAAAGGTAAAGTGAACCCGGTAGGTATGACTCAGTGGTTGAGCACCGTCCCATGCACTGAGAGGTTCCAGTTCAATTCCTGGTCAGGGCACATGCTCAGGTTGTGGGCCTGATCCCCAGTAGGGAGCGTGCAGGAGGCAGCTGATTGATGTTTCTCTCTCACATCAATGTTTCTCTCTCCCTTCCTCTTTCTCTCTAAAAAAATCAGTAAAAATATATTTTTTTAAAGAGTGAAAGTGATTAAAAAGTACAAAAATTCCAATTATAAAAATAGTCATGGGGATGGACACCATAGGGAATACAGTCAATAATATTATAATAACTATATATGGTGTCTGATGGGAATTAGACTTATTGGGGTGATCACTTCATAAATTTTATAAATGTCTAATCACTATGTTTCACACCCAAAATTAATATAATATTGTATGTCAACTATAACTGAAAAATAGATATTTTTTAAAAGACTGCCCTTTTGCCCTGGCCAGTTTGGCTCAGCGGTTAGAGCGTCGGCCTGCGGTCCTGAGAGACCCGGGTTCGGTTTCCGCTAAGGGCGCGTACCTTGGTTGCAGTTTGTCCCCGGCCCTGGTCGGTCGTGCGGGTGGCAGCCACTCGATGTGTTTCTTTCAGATCGATGTTTCTCTCTCTCTCTCTGTTCCTCTCTCTCCCTCCCACTCTACCTGAACAAAAAAATGGGAAAATGTCCTCAGGTGAGGATAAAAAAAAAAAAAAAAAAAAATAGACTGCCCTTTTAAAAATACTAGTTTGTGTCTCTAGAGGTGGTGTTACCAGAGAAATCAGTGGGTCTAATTTCCTCAACATCAGTTGGGAGTGGGGCTCTTGCAATATCTTGAAAAATTAATTTTCTAAGACTTGCACAGGAAAATGGGATGAGATAAAAGAATTTCTTTGTATGGAGTTATATCCCTCAAGTTCCAAAGTCCCATTTTCCTTAGTCCAGTCCTGAAAGAGGGGTAGCTGGGGGTTCAGCAGAGCTAGAAGTAGGGCCAGTGTCCAGAGCTTCCATTCCATGGTGGAGTGGGGTCCGATGGAGCATCAGGCATCACAGTCCATCAGTCCACTGTGTGGGGTCCATGTGGCCATGGGCCAGGTGGGCGAGTACACAGTGTGAGAACCCCGCGAGCCAGGAGTCAGACAGGAGCAGCAAGAGAGACAGAGCTTCCTTTGTCCAGGAGTTTAAATATTCAGATTTCATGCTCTTGCAGTGGCCACGCCCATTCTGGCCACTAACTTGTTCCCAAGTGTGACTGACAGGCAAGCAAGCACCTTCCCACGTCACCCACACCTTACCAGGCAGGCGTCTAAACTGCCTTTGTCCAGTCCTTTGTGGGGAACAGACCTGGAGAGTGTTAACTGCAGCTTCCTGACAAATCTGTACAAATGCATGCCCATGTTATCTGGTCTGCCCCTTACTCCTTTCCTATTAATAATAACCAGCTGCCCTGGCCGGTTTGGCTCAGCGGTTAGAGCGTCGGCCTGCAGTCCAGAGAGACCTGGGTTCGGTTCCCGCTAAGGGCATGTACTTTGGTTGCAGTTTGTCCCCGGCCCTGATTGGGTTGTGTGGGTGGCAGCCACTCAATGTGTACCTTTCACGTCGATGTTTCTCTCTCTCGTCCTCCCGCTCTATCTGAACAAAAATGAAAAAATGTCCTCGGATGAGGATAAAAAAATAATAATAATAATAATAACCAGGTATGTTATTAACGGTATCAGTGGGAGACTGGATTTACCTTTGAGGAAAGATGGATTGCCTATCTATTGTAAAATGCTCATTAAAGTGATTATTTTGCAATCCCCAAAATCAGGGGTCAGCAAAATTTTCCTGTAAAGAAAAATTTTAGACCTTGTGGGCCAAGAAGCAAAGCAGAAGATATTACATAACAAGAGAGAAAAAATTGTATTAACAATATTCAAAATATAAAAATATAATAATTTTTTGTACTATGAGTCTACTAATGAAAAGAATGAAAAAAATTTTTTTAAGAATAAGGAAAAGAGCTAGTGTTCCCTGTCATCAAGTTGATTATAAATGTTCATCTGTAGAAACCATCTCAGCCAGCTGTCCCAAAACAGGCAGCATCTGGCCAACAGGCTGTAGTCTGCTGATGCCCAAAAGAGCAGTGAAATTTACACTGGAATGAGGGGATTCCAAAAAATGAGGAATAACTCTGCTTTAAAAATATTAACCAGCTATCTTTATTGTGGGCAAGGTAACATCTCTAAAGATTGTATTTCCCTTCCGGGAAACTTTGTTCCTCTTTGAGAGCCATAAAGAGTTTAGAATCTGTACTGAGAAAACCCAAAGAGGCCCCTGCAGCAGGACATCAAGGCCAACAGCAAAGGAGAGAAGGGGGCCACTGGGCGCCACCTGCAGGGAGGTCACCCAGGAAGCAGTCACACTGTCCAGGTTCAAAGTACATGTGTGTGGAGGCTTCTGTGAATTGCAGCTTTTCCCCCTCTGTATTATAATCCCCAAGCCTTCAGTTAACTTTTGTTAAATGCCACCTGCTGGTCTTGGCTGTGCTGAATGTAATTCAGGGAGAATCCTGGGGCAGAGAGAAGCTGAGGAATAGGCATGAGCCACAGGAATGCCAGACTCAATGTGGCAAGACAGGGTCTCGCTCGCAATAGTACAATGGTCTAGACTGAGGTAAGACACCTGGCTGATAAACATTGTTTACAAGTGTAAACATTGCTAGGGATACTCAGAGGACCTGGGGAGGGGGAGAAATGCAGGTCCCCTTAGGGAAAGTTAAGAGAAGAGAACATGGACTTTCACACAAGTGAAATGGCACAGGAGCATTCACTGAGCACGGTGTGAAATAAACATGGGCTGGGAACAATGCAAATGTAAGTTAAATGTGAACTTGTTAAATAATTCTGGAGCAACCAGAATTAGAATACAGACTAAAAAAAAAAAAAAGTAAAAACAACAGGGACGCTCTCTGCATGGTCAGGAGAACATAGAAGCTCAGAAGATGGAGGGTAGGGCTGGGAGTAGGACTGTGCACTTAGAACTTCTTATTTAATCATCTTTAATATTATCTATTTGGCACTCGGAATCAAATGTGTGTTTGTTTGAAGAAGGCTAAAATCTAGGTAATCTGGGTCTCGCATACAGCACAGGTATTTTCAACACATAAATTCACCAACTTACATTAAGAGCAATGTAAATTTAAAGTATCATCCCTGCAGGCTACCTATAAATCACAAGGACAGTGAAGCCAGTGACGAAATCTAGCCACACGGAGGACAACACAAATTAGCACATCAGGTTCCCAAGGTGACACAGTAGGAGGCACACGGCCTCATGTGCAGAGGGTCTTCCAAAATGTATAACCTCGATCTAATCCTAAGAAAAAACTAGGCAACTCTAAATTATGACATATTCTACAAGATAACCAGCCTGGACTCTTCAAAAATGCCAATATCATAAAAGCGAAATAAAGTGTTAGAGGAAACCAGAAACATGAAACCAGTGTAGCATATGGTCCTGTTGATGGAGGAAATCGGGCTCTTCCACGGGATCACGAGAAAAGCATCCCAAGGACCCATGGGAGACTGGAGTGTGGCAAGGTTTATTCAGGAAGGCTGCCCCTGCGTGCCTAATGTCCCATCTCCATCCATCCCACCATGAAAAAAGTCCAATTTTGTCTTCATCAAGGCCAAAGCAAAGGCCAGTGTCCAGAGCTTAGTCCTTTGGAGCCCGAGAGATTTGCCGTGGGCCCCAGTTAGCTACTAGATCTGGTTTCACAAGCTCACAGGGGTCACAAAGAAAGATGGAGAGGAGGAGAAGGACGGGGAAGGGGCGGGGAGAAAAAGAGAGAGAGAGAGATTCTTTGTTCCCCTGGGGTTTATAGCATCTTAGGCTGGGGAAGGACCAAGATCTTTTTCAAAATAACTAATCAATATCCCAAGTTTTTGCAGGCTTCTGATTGGTCCACCCCCTGACCCCTTTCCCAGGTTAGACTGACAAGCCTCTGTGGTCAGGCACCTCCCCCTGTACCATTTTGACTTCTATTGCACACGTGCTGACCTCCCCTGCTCCCCCATCCGGTACCAAGGGGGAAGGAGGAGTGTTCATCCTTGGGGGGGTGGGTAATGCTGTGAACCCTGGAGTGTGTGTGAAGCTGTAGCTTCCTGGTGTAGCAAATTGGCTCAGTGTCCAATTCCCTTTGTTTCCCTCCCCTTTTTTAACCTCCACTAACAGACCTTGACTGGTTCATGTATTTACCAGAGGACTGGGCCATAAAAGAAACATTTTAGTCTATGTCAACAATGCTGGGGGTGGGTGGGATCAGGAGTAGGGTGATAATGGGGGAAAAGGGAGAAACACCTGTAACAAAAATAAATTAATATAAATAAATGAAAAGGCAATGCCCCCTCCAAAAAAAAAAAATTTTAGGAAAACTGGAGAAAGTCAAACTGGATTGTATGTGAGGTGATTTTATAATGCAATGCTGCATGTCTTGGACGAGATAATGGTCTTGTGGATATAGCGAAGAAAGTTCTTTTTCTTAGGAAATGCAAGTTGAAGTATCTGAGGGTGAAGTATAATGACGTCAAAACTTACTTTCAAATAACTCGACAAAAAAGTGTACAGAGAGTGATAAAGCAAATACCATAAAATATTAATAATTGATTAATACCTGAAGAGTATATGGGTATTCACTGTACTTTGAAATTTCTCATAGGTTTGAGATTTTTTAAATAAAAAGTTGGGGGGAAATGACTATTCACAGTGGAAGAGCCATCTGTGGGTTTCCTTGAAAGTCTTTCCTTAGGTTGAAGTAGTTGGCGAAAGGAACACAACATGAGCTGCAAAGCACTTCCGCCCCATCGGCAGGGAGGTCTGTGTTTTACAGCATCTAGAGAGGATGCTTCCTGTCCATGGAGGACAGAATCTACAAGGCAAGTCTCCCTGTCACTGCTAGTGCAGAACATCAAGGTGAAGAATTTAGCTTTCCAGTCTGAGTCCCTGACGGTGCACCAATCAGGGCACGCTCCACTGTATTCGTCTTAACAGAACAAGTTTCTGGTCTGCAAGCATTCATTGACTTGCATGTGTTTCCTAACACATGCTTCCCTAACTTTGGTGTTTCAGGCAGAAGAAAAACAGCCAACCTACCTGGTGTCACAGAGAAGGTCAGGGATGAGCATGTGGTACTGTGAGAAGTAACAGAATTCCAGAGAGCTGGAAAAGTGGTACCCTCTCTCTAATGCACCCTCTCCTAAAAGCAACCCCTCTGACCTACAAAAGGCAAAAGAGGTCATGCTACTCTGATGTAAGGCCCTCAACACATTCTTTCTTCTTTATGCAATACTAAGTTCATCAACAACTTGTTTCTGTATCAGGGAAGTCGAAGTCATTTTTATCCCATAGAAGTTTCTTCATTACTAATGGAATACTATATGTGCCAAATTTGTGTTTCTGTTACAATGGTGCCCTGGGGTGACATCATTTGAAGAGGGGAAGAAACGCTGCTCGTTATCTTACCGACTGCAGCAGCGGTCTTGGATGTAGGAAGGTTGGTGCAGTCCCCAATCCCAAACACATTTGAGTACTTCTTATGCTGCAGAGTTTCTTTGTCCACATCCACCCAGCCAGCAGCATCAGCCACAGGGCTCTTCTTGAGGACATCCGGTGAGCTCATTGGTGGTGTAACATGAAGCATTTCATACTACAAAAAAAGGAGAGCATCCAAATGTGTGTCTTTTTTTCCAATATTTCTACAGCCCCACAAGCTCTCCCCCCATCTCCCTCACCCATACATTGCCGTGATTGCATGGAGCACTATACAATTAGTGCTTATAATCTACACCTTTCCAAGACCTTACAGGCTTCCTTGGAGTCTGGTAATAAAATAATAGTCATTCTCTTAGTTGACATGGTCTCCCCATAGAGTCCACGTGATCCCTTTAGCAGTAGGCATGGGGTAATCCAAGGTTAGAGTGAATCTTACTAACATTCAACAAGAACCCACTGATGTGTCTCTTATTACAGAAACTAAAACGGAGAGGGTGGCACATTTCATTTGTGCTTTCCCTGACCCTCATCTGTCAACCTGTAAAGTCTGGGACTGCAAAAGGTGCTCAGAGTCCTTGAAACCTGTGAAGGCTGTGTTAGGAGGTGGTAAGTGAGCACTATTCCCAAATATGGGTCAACCCTAAAAATAAAAAAAAAAAAGGAAGCCATCAAAACACCAATTAAAATGAAATAAAGGGTAGCAATGTTGCGGGAGAAATCAATGGGCCGGATTTCCCCAACACTAGTGGGAGTAGGGCTCTTGCGATATCTTCAGAAAAGGAATTTTCTAAGATTCGCACAGGAAAATGGATGGTTTCTATTTGCATGAAATTATATCCCTTGGGTTCCAAAGTCCCAGTTCCCTGAACCCAGTCCTGAAAAGGGGGCATTCAGCAGAGCTAGAAGCAGGGCCAGTGTGCAAAGTTTCGATCCATGGTGAAGCTGGGTCTGATGTGGCATCATGCTAGATTCAGTCCTTTAGTCATTGTATAAGGTCCACGTGGCTGTGGGCCATGTGGGCAAGTGCAGGACATGGAAACCCTGCAAGCCAGGGGTCTGTCATGGGCAGCAAGAGAAAAGGAAGAGAGAGAGAACTAATAGAGTATAGAGAGTGAGCTTTTTTTTTTTCACACCCTTGCATTGGCCACACCTATTCTTGCCAATTAGTATTCCTAGGAGTGACTGACAGGTAAGCACTCCCACATCACTCAGACCTTACTGGGCATGTGTCTAAACTGTCTTTGTCCAGTCCCTTCCCCCATAAATTAGCGGGGAACAGACCTGGGGAGTGTTAACTGTAGCTTTCTGACAAAGCTGTATAAATGGCATGCCCACATTATCTACTTTCCCCTTTTGCTCCTTTCCTGTTAAATAATAACCAGATTATTACAGTGATATCAGTAGGAATATTGGCTAGCACTTTGGAGGAAAAATGGAGTATTGAGTTTACTGAACAGTGTAGGAGGCAGGGTGGATTTTCCTCCCCTAAATATCAAAATTACCCTTGGCAATAGTGCACTGACCCATCCTAATTGACTCTGATGAGTCCTGTACAGTCTTTGTCTATGTACTATTCTTCTACTTTTTGTAGTGCATTTCTTTTATTCTTTTCCTTTAGTTTTAATCAATTCCATCTACAAACTTCAAATTAATTCAAATGGTCACAAAACATTACATTAAAGTGAAAACTTTAGCATCTTAAGACAATTCCAGCCTTGTGAGAGTCAGTAGGCCCATAAAGAGGTTCTGGTGTTCATCAAGGCTTGTCAACATTGATGGCGCTAGGAAGCTTTGTATTTGTTCCGGCTTTCAGACCATTATAAGCCTAATTAACCCTAAGGAAGAAGGAGTACTGCAAATGGTCAGTGCTTCTCTGCAGGGTGATCTTGGGTGGTTCTTAGGGGCATGGGTCCCTGAGGCTGGGTCTATTATGAAGGTGGAGACTGAACACATGTCTATAAGATAATGGATGGAATGGTCAACAACCATTATCCACCAAATTATTAAGGCAATGTCTGCATTGCTTTAGTTAATTACAACCACTTTTTAAAACTATGGTCTAAATCTTATGAATTCCAGACCTCTTTCTAGAAGTTCTGTATTTTTACATAAACATAAGCGCATGATGTTTCACTTGAGCTAATATCCTAGGCTAAATAATAAAACTAGACCACCTTTTTACACCATACACAAGAATAAACTCAAAATGGATTAAAGACTTAAATGTAAGTCTCAAAACTATAAAAATCCTAGAAGAAAACATAAGCAGTAAAATCTTGAACATTTCTCATAGCAATATTTTTTCTGATATATTTCCTTGGGCAAGGGAAACAAAAAAATAAATAAATAAACCAATGGAACTACATCAAACTAAAAAACTTTTGCACAGCAAAAGAAACCATCAACAAAATGAAGACAACCCACTGAATGGGAGAACATATTCACTGATACAACTGATAAGGAGTTAATTTTCAAAATTTATAAGGAGGTTATGAAACTCAACACCAAAACAAACAAACAAAGAATCCAATTAAAAAATGGGTAAAACACCTGAATAGACACTTCTCCAAAGATAATATGCAGATGGTCAATAAACATATGAAAGATGCTCAACATCACTAATTATCAGAGAAATGCAAATTGAAACCACAATGAGATACCACCTCACACCTGTCAGAATGGCTACCATCAATGAATCAACAAAGAACAAGTGTTGGCGAGGGTGTGGAGAAAAGGGGACTCTAGTATACTGCTGGTGGGAATGCAGACTGGTGCAACCACTGTGGAAAACAGTATGGAGTTTCCTCAAAAAATTAAAAATGGAACTGCCTTATGACCCAGAGATTCCACTTCAGGTAATATATTCGAAGAAATCCAAAACACTAATTTGAAAGAATATATGCACCTCTATATTCATTGCAGTGTTATTTACAATAGCCAAGATCTGGAAGCAACCTAAGTATCCACTGATAGAAGAATGTTAAGAAGATATAAGACATACACACACACACACACACACACACACACACACACACTGGAATATTACTCAACCAGAAGAAAAAAATGAAATCTTGTCATTTGTGATGACAAGGACAGACCTAGAGGGTATTATGCTAAGTGAAATAAACCAGACAGACAAATACAAATACTATATGATTTCACCTATGTGTGGAATCTACAAAATAAAATAAACAAACAAAACAGAAATTCATAGATACAGAAAACTGATAGTTGCCAGACAGGAGGGGGTGGAGGGTGGATGAAAAAGGTGAAGGGATTAAGAAGTCCAAAGTTACATTTTAAAAACAGTCATGTGGATGTAAAGAGCAGCATAAGAAATATAGACACTATAATGGGAACATGTCACAAAGACATTGGAACCATCTACATGGGCTCCCCCAATCTGGGACAATTTGAGCACCAAAGTAATTAAGGATAATAATGAATTATAAACCACTGGGAGAAAAGTAGGAATGTATGAATTCATACCAATAATGAATGAATTAAGAGAGAAGGAGGGCTTTTGCCAACAGAATGCCAAGAGTCTATTGGTAAACATAGAGAAAATGCTGGAAAATCATCATTTTGCAACCAGTGCAGTAGAGATTGGATTAGGCAAAAAAAATCACCAATGGATGCTAAATCCAGAAGACTTTAATGAGGAGCAGGGTGTCTACGTGGTCTTAAACTGTCTCCCCACAGGCTTGCTAATAACAAGGGAGAAAAAGAATAATTACAGTCCTGGCCAGTTTGGCTCAGCGGTTAGAGCGTCAGCCTGCGGTCCTGAGAGACCCGGGTTTGGTTCCCGCTAAGGGCACGTACCTCGGTTGCAGTTTGTCCCCGGCCCACCAGGGCCGTGCGGGTGGCAGCCACTCGGTGTGTTCCTTTCACATCGATGTTTCTCTCTATATATCTGTTCCTCTCTCTCCCTCCCACTCTACCTGAACGAAAAATGGAAAAAAAAAAAAAAAAAGAATAATTACACAGTAGAGAAATTGCACCATATCTTGACCGGCCTAAATGAACTTCATCAATGAGGGGCAGATGAACCCAGTGTGCTTTCAAATGTATTACCCGAGAAGGACATGACATCCCTGAAGCAGCATTTCAGTCTAAAAATCATAGCCTGAAACTAATCACAAGAAAACACAGATAAACCCAAAATGGAGAACATTCTATTTTAAAAATCAAAGTGGTGGTGGGGTGGGGGGGTATTATTCAAAATGCCAGTGTCACAGGAAACATTCCAGATTCAAGGAGGCTAAGGAGACATCACATTAAATGAAATACCTGACCAGACTGGGTTCTGTCCTAGAGGGGAAACTACTATAAATACTACTGAAAACACAACTGGAATACCCATGGTACATTAAAACATTGTATCTATGCTAAACATGCTGAGTTGAGAGCTGTGCTGTGGTTAAGTACGAGATATGTCTTCGGAAATTTACAATGAGGTATTTAGGGGTAAAGGACTATGATGTATGTAACTTTACCTTTAAATGCTTCGGGGAGAGGGACATGAAATGATAAAGCAAATGGGATAAAACTCTATTAAGTAAATCTAGGTGAAGGCTATATACAGTTTCCTATATGTTTTTATGCACTTACTAATTTTATTTCAGCAACTTTCTCTAAGCTGAGATTATTTCCCAAAAGAAGTTTCCAAAAATGATGACCTTGAGTCATCAGTAATATTTTAAACACTAGTCAATACACTCCATGTAAAAAGAAAAGATGTGTGCAATATATTTAGAAAGAGCTTGAGCTTAAAAGCTTATAATGTGAAGTTTTGATGTTTAGAAGACTAATCTTTGGTTTCCTTCAAAATTCACTTTCATAGAACCTGTCATTCTTCTGAAAATGCTGAATGAATAAAATGTCACCATGCCCTGTTTTCTCACTAACAGTTCTTGTCAGGATGATACAAACAAATGATTCTTCCATGCATGCTTCTCCAGATGCCTCTTCATCTTGTTGTTACTCCTCACACGCCTCTACAAAAGGACTGTTCCCACTCCCGGAAGAAGAAACTGAGACGCACAGAAACCGAGGCCATGTGCAAAGGCTAGACCTTTCCACGCAGGGAGCAGCTCCACCAGCTCTTCCCAGGACTTGAAGTGCTTCCTTTATGCCCAGGTGAAAAATGTTTAAAGACAGCCCCTTCAGAGGTGAAAGATGGCCCTGTCATTCTTGAACTAACCACAAGCAGGGCTGTTTCTCCCATTCCATCAACTCAATCAATCACCACATCCTGCATTACAGGAAGCCCTTCCAGAGCTCTGGACAGTATCTGAATTGTGAACTATTGACTGCTTCAAGTGATTCAGTGCCAAGAAAAACAGAGACACAAAATAGGATGAAAATATACTTGGTACCAGTAGATAAACCCTCCTCCCTCCCATGGACACAACCTCCTACCTCTTTCTCTTCCCCACCCACGCTGGTTCACCTTCCCCCATCGCTGTCCTAAGATGCTCATTGTAACCAGCCTCCCCCAGCGCACAGTGATGATGGACAGCGAGGCAGGAGCCATGGTGTCGCCTGCATCCGTGACTCTATGCACCTGACAGCTTAACCTTGCCACTCACGGAGAGCACTTGGGTCTCTCCAGGTTTGTCCAGGTTCTCAAAAACAGCCTCTTGTTTATCGGCTCGGACTTCAATGAGGTTTTGCTTGTAGTTCACCGTGAGGTTCCTCTCCTGGATGATCTCCAGCAGGGCATCTGCATACTTCTTAACCCCAAAAATGGTTCCAAGAGCAGTGTTGAAAATGATGTTGGCCTTTGGTCGATTCCCTGTCTGAGAAAAAGGAAAGAATAGAAACAACCAACACCAAAGCATTACTCCAGCCACCTTTTTTTTTTTCAACTGAGATAAGAATTAAAACTTTCAGAAGAGACCTCGCCAGCTTTCCCCATCACTCTGCCCTGGGGGGGTGAGGGGTAGACAATCCACTGCCCCCGCCTTATTTTCTGTCAGCAACACAGCAACTAAGTGCACATCTGAGTCAGGGGGTTGAGGTGGGTGCTGTTCAACTGAGGACCAAAGAGGGGGATTTATTCCAGGTAAAAACAGAGCTGGATTGTTTGCTCATTTACTCATTTGTTATTCACTCAATAAACACTTAATGAGGTCCTAGAGCTGGCCAGGTGCTGAGGGACAGCAGTGAGCCAGACTTAGCTCCCGTGCCCCCCCTGGCTCATACAGTCTAGTGTTGCTCATGTTTCAGAGAGGCTAGTATTCTCCCAAACACCTATGATCTTAGGGCACCCAAGAGAGAAACTTCTCTCAGGCCACCCAAGAGTTAAGGGAAAAGAGTTAAGCAAAGAGAATTCCCAGGAGGGAAGAAACAGGTAGTCTCTTACTCTTCTCTTGTGCCCAGCTCCTTTTAGGATTTGCTCGCCTGGTTCTCACTATTTAAAAGCAGTTAGGGGAGTAAGAACCTCAAAGGGCTGTGCCAACCGAGATTTCTCATAACCCAGGATGGTCTTTCTTACAAACAGCAGTGATGACTGAAACTGGTCCTTAACTCCCCACCCCACGGGGTTGGTGCTGTGTCACATGACTCAGGTGAGGCCTTCCCAGTCCCATCATCCCCTCCCCTTCTCCCCACCTGCCCCTTTACAGAACCACAGGCTGCTTTGAATCCTGCCACTGTCTCGAGTCAGACCACACTTTAGTAGACCTGAGGTGACATCCTGCAGAAGGGTATGAGGAATGCAGAGACAGCATACCCACCCACACCTCCTTCCATGAAGGTCTGAAATATTCTACATGAACTTTTTTTCTTGCCTTTAATGTATAAAAATAAACAATGTGCAACTAATTATCTAGCTATATGGAAATATTTAAACAGTTTCTAACATATCTCCCCAGTATACACATTAAAAAGTATGTTATGTCCTGGCTGGTTTGGCTCAGGGATTAGAGAGTCAGCCCGAGGACTGAAAAGTCTCCGGTTCGATTCCCGGTCAAAGGCATGTACCTAAGTTGCATGTTCGATCCCCAGTCCCAGTTAGGGTTGTGCAGAAGGCAACCAATCAATGAGTCTCTCTCACATTGATGTTTCTCTCTCTCCCCCTCCCTTCCATTCTATATAAAAATCAATGAAAAAAATATCCTTGGATAAAGACTAACAACAACATAAAAAAGTATGTTACAAAGCCTATTTAATATCATGTAATACATGTACATTTGTATGTACAGTATGACTGTAACCATGTTTAAAACAATAGCATAGGAAAAAATGGAAGGTCATGTCCAATTGATAACAGCAGCTGGATTAAAACAACTGGATTATGATTGACTACTTCTTTCTATTTTATAAACTTCCAATTATACAATTTTGTACATATGTAACCGAAATTTAGAAATAAAAAAAAAAAGTATTTGACATGAATAAAATGGAATTCTGGCAATCATCAAATGAGCACCGTCTGCTCCTCCCTCCCCACCCTCGTCTCTGTCCCTGGAGAGGGCACATACCTTCCTGAAATAGGCTTCCGATAAGTACATGATCTTCTGAGGGGCTCCAGCACACTTGATGGGAGTGTTGGGAAAGGTGAAAATGGCATTGCCCTCCTTGAAGTCCTGCAGAGCTTTCCATGTCTTCTCTACTGTATTCACTGAATAATTGGACCCTATTTTGGGACAGGCAAAACCTTCAGGTAGACCTTTAATCTGCAACAAAGGACACAATGAAAACATTTGTTACCATATGATTTCACTTATATGCGGACTCTAAAGAGCAAAATAAAGTTGAAACAGACTGATAGTCACAGAGAGAGGACTGGCGGTTGCCAGAGGGGAGGGGTGTTGGGGGGCTTGGTGAAAGAGATGAAGGGATTAAGAAGTACAAATTGGAAAATAAATTGAAATACCAAAAAAAAAAAAGGACAAATTGTAGTTACAAAATAGTCATGGGGATGTAAAGTACAGCATAGGGAATATAGTCAATAACATAGTGATAACTATGTATGGGCCAGGTGGGGACTGGGAATATCAAGGGGAACACTATGTAAAGTATATGACCGACTAACCACTAGGCTGTACACCTGAAACCAATACAAATAAAATTGAAAGTAAACTAAAAGAATACATTTTAACAGAAGTGCAAATGGCTTTTCTTTGCCATTTCTACAACCTTGCAAGCATTTCAGTACCATTATTAGCGCCAGTCCTCACACACAATGCAGCAAACAAGTGAAGAATCCACTAAGACCAGCACTACAGCACCTGGAGTCACCTGCCAAGCTGCAGGTTGGACTCAGCCCAGGGGAGCCCCTCCGGTCCCTGGCCTTGAGGCCGTGATTTGAATCATCTCCCACCATCAGAGCAAGGACAAGGATCCAAACATACTTCCTTTAGGGAGAACCAGTTTCCTCACTAGGAAGAAGAAGACTGATAGGCAGAACCAAGAACCACAATGTCAATAATAGCAAACTTAAAGTCCCCTTCATCGAGTTGTACCAGATCCAACTCTTGGTAAAGGCAAGTAATTAAAAACATGGAATTGGGAATCCCCAGACCTGGTATGAGTCCTAGCTTTTCCACTTGTGAGCGCTGTGACCCTCGGCAAATTAACCAATATCTCTAAGCCAGTGAGTCTCAAAGTGTGGTCTCCAGACCAGCATCACCACCACCACCTGGGAACTTGCTGAAAATGCACATTATCAGGCCCCACCACAGAGCTACTGAATCAGAACTCGGGGGTGAGCCCAGAAATCTGTTTTCACAGATGATTCGATGGGCACCGAGGCTTGAAAGGCTTATGTTCACCATCTGGAAAAGAAGATAAAAGTAACAACTTCGGAGGGTTCTTGGCAGGAGTCAGTAAGACCACGCAGGTGAAGTGCTGAGAAAAGTGACACGTGTGGTAATGCTCCCTACAAGGTAGCGTATTCCTGCCAGTCAGATAACCAGTACTTGTCTGTGTGTTAGAAGGGTCACAGCATGCAATAAAAAAGGCACAGACTGAGGTAAGAGGCTCAAGTACCAGTTCTTTCACAAGAGAAGGAAACTCTACAAAACAGTCATCAGGATAGGCTGGTCCTTCAGAACCTCCCCAGACTGTTGTCCAGAATGTAGGGCCACCTCCAGAGTCACTCAACACCTGTCCCTCAGGTCTCCAGGAAACAGAGTTCTATGACCTCCTTCATCACATTCAACGTCAAGAGCGGCTGTTCCTCTGATTACTGATCACAGCTCCTGCTACAGTTTAAGTAGCTATAATATTAGCAGTTTCAACAATAGTCATTTATTATTATAACATTACCTTGCATTTTAATGTTTCTGTAGTTTCACATCTAGGTTGACATTGGGAAGTTCTCTGTATTCCTTCCAAGGGAGGGAGGGAAATATTATTGGTCCATAGACACCGATGAGGAAACTGAAGTACAGAAAGGTTGAGACATCCACCTAGAATCTTACAGAACTAGATGCCAAGGCCTCTGACCGCGGCCTAGGGCTCTTCCCACAAGACTTCTATAGTTCCTGGTTCCCAAAGAAAAACCATCCAAGGGATAAACAAACAGCTCCTCTCTTACCACCTTCATTGTTTTTCTCTGTCTGAAGAAGCTATTGTGAAGGGAAAGGGTACTATCAGGTCGGAGACCTGGTCGTCCAATCCCAGTGCCTCTCTGGGAATCCATTCATTCTGAAGACCCAGCCACATTTGCAGACACCTTGGTGTCCTCATCAAAGAAATCCCCCTTTTGTCTACAATAACCTGAGTAGTTTTCTATTGCCTGTCATCAGGGTGTCAGGTAAGACAGCAGCCTCAGTTTCCTTACCTCTTAAGTGGAGATAAAAATAACTATCTCACAAGTAGCTGTGAGGAATCAATATTAGATTCCCAGCATGTACCTGGTACACAGCAGAGACTCTAGAATAATAGCTACTTTTAAATATTATTATTTCTTGGTTTGCTGCAAAAGGTTGCTAAGGACTCTCAGCACTGGTGTCTTCAAACAGCAATGGGCCCTCAGGGAGATGCACCACCTCTGCTCAGTCAACTCTCCCGGGGCTCTCGTGAGAGACACGGACCTCCCAGAAGGTGTAACTGGCACCTTTCTCCACATGGTCTATCCCACAGCTGGTCTTTCTGAGACTCATGGCCATACCACCACGACCCAAACTCACCACAACTTCACCCCAACTCATCGCTTCTATGAAACGTCGCAGAACATACCCCAGGACATTGTCACCACCTTCACCCTGGACAAGTCATGATTTGTGTTTTACACAGAAACACACTTCAATGACCCTTCCTGAGCCAACTTGCTTGCATTACATTTCTGAAGCTGTGACGTGGTTATCACTACGCTTCGTGTGTTCCAACTCTTCACCCAGAGTCCCCAACCAACTTCTGGAAATCATAATAATTACTGACTTACTCTAGGATGTTTTAGAAAACTAAACTTGAATCTCACAATTATCTGACAGCATCTGGCTCCCTAGCTCGTGGAAAAGGGAGATCGAAGAAACTTCTAGGGTAGTAGCTATATTGTGTCGGTCACTTCGTACCAAGAAACGCAGCCGACACAGCAAACCCCAAACCTCCCTCCGGCCCCTGACAAACAAACTGCTGGAATTCTACCCTTAAAGTCTGCTTTCAAAATTTCAAAATCTAAATCTTACTTCCAAAGAACAACGTAATCTGTCAAACAGCCAGCTCGGTCCTACACAGAAGGCGGTTCTCCTGGAAGTGTGGGCCAGGCTGCTCTCTGCACGAATGCCCGTCAGGGCACGAGTGTGCTGAACTGTGATTAAAGCTTAGAGCTCGATCACATTATCACTGACAGAATCTTCGAGGAGACTCTTTTAAAACCATAAAAAGACTGCTGAGAAATAAAACTAGATGAGGATTTCTTAGTACTTTTTCTTGTCAAAATGAATATAAAGGCACTTGAGGCCGTGTCTGAAGTTGGCATACGCAGGCGAGGGCACACAGAGGAGTTGAAGCGTACCTTCTCATAGTCCAGCTGGATTCCGAGAGCAATGATGAGATATCTGTAGGAGATCTGCAACACAAAACAAGGTCATTTCACACCAGGCCCCAACAGTGGCCGTCCAAGGGCTGACTCCGGCCCCAGGTGAGTGTGGCCAACAGTGTTTCTATTTTTTCATGTGAAAAAAATAATCAGTTATTATTATAACAGTACCTTGCATGTTAATGTTTCTGTACTTTCACATCTACACTGACACCGGATGTTCTCTGTACTCCTTTGAGAGGAAGGGAAATATTGGCCCATAGACACCGATGAGGAAACTGAAGTACAGCAAGGTTGAGACATCCACCTAGAACCTTACGGAACTAGATGCCAAGGCCTCTTCTAACAAGACTTCTATAGTCCCTGGTTCCCAAAGCAAAACCATCCAAGGGATAAACAAACAGCTCATCCCTTACAACCTTCATTGCTTTTCTCTGTCTGAAGAAGCTGTTGTAAAGGAAAAAGGTGCCTTTAGGTGGGAGACCTGGTCATAAAGGGCGGTTTATGACCCCTTATCCAAGGCTTGAGGCTGTGGGTGGTGGGCAGGGCGTCAGACACCCCTCCGGTCTGCCATCATGCCCACATTCTCATGCCTCACTGTGGAACCTGCCTGGCTGCTGAGAGTTGGGGACTCCTATACTTCTACACAATGAAGAATGACGGCAAAGAGGCCACAACTTCTTGTGCAGTGCTTATGTTCACATTTTTTCATGTTAAGCATGGCTTTCTAATCTTAAGAACAGTCAACTTTCTTTAAAATCTATGGGGTAATGTGTGAATCCCAAGCAAATCTGACCTGTCATGTGGATGGATCAAAATCATAGCTGAGAAACTGCTCTTTTGAGGGTCATTGAAAAGGATGTGATACAATGCATTTGATATTATATCATGATCTGTTTGGGATTTAAAAGTCCCCTCTTTAAATAGGGGTCTTGAGACTACTCGGGCTGAGAGCAAGTCTCCATATTCACTGTGATGGAAATGTGGGTTGAGGATCCGGAGAAAGGTAAGCGATGCCAGAAAGAGTCAGCAAGAAGGATGTAAAGTAGAAGGACTTGCCTAGGTGAAGAATGGCTGCAGTGGAAGCCGGGAGCCCAGACAGGACATGGGGTGATGGCTGCCTCACTCCTGTACTAAACAGAGAAGCTCAGACGCATGCTGTGAAGATCACAGCTAAAGAAAGGGGATTCCCAGACACAAGAGTGCTTAGCTCATGCTGGGGAGCTGGAGGAGCAAGTCACCCAAGAGATCCTGCCCTGGGACCCAGATCAGCTCTGTGGTCACCTCCACAGTGAGGTCTTCCTATGGCTCAGTCTTCCTCCGGCCCGCCCCTCCTGGGAGCTCCCTTAGCACAGTGTACAAGGTGCTTCATAGCACTTGTCAAGTTACATAGCAGTCATGTCCTCCCCCACCACATCGAAATCCTAGAGGATAAAGGTTGTGTCTTACTCCTTATAGTCCTAGAATCCAACATAGTCACCAAACTAAAGTGAAGCACGTGGTAATGTTTGTTGGATGAATGTTTGGTTCCAGTTGCTTATGAAAATACAACTTATCAAAGTGGACAGATGACACATACATCATCATCCATGTGACTGGCCTGTCCATGGACAGCAGGTGCCCTGAAGTTCCTTGTTCTGTAGGAAAGCGCACTAGGCCCGTTAAATGGCTGGCTGAAGTGTGCTGGGTCGTCAGCGTATGTGAGGGGAGAGGGGGCATGGGGTTTGGGGAGATGATCTCCACGTATAACATCTCAACACTATCAGCTAGAAACGCTTAGGTTTGTGTGTGCCTTGATGGTTCTACTAGAGCATCATGCTGATTATTTTTTAGGTGCAGGAATAACAAATAAGCTTAAGATTATGAAAAATCATTAAGGGAGAATAAACCCTAAAGTAGCAAAGTCTAAAATGAAAGCCTCAAGCCTTTGAATGAGTTCAAGTTTCCAGGCCAGATGATTTAAACTCTAAAGAATTGCAAAAATTTGTAGACAAGACTTTTGAGCCATTGCCAAGAACAGTACAGACCTCTCCAGGGAGCTAAATATGGGCAAATATTCTCATTTTATACAGAGGATGGAGAAGGTAACTAACAACTTAGTTAACAGGATGTTCACCCATTTCAAAATTCCAGGCTCGTCTACTGGATAGATGTCTCAGCAATTTGGAAAAAGAAGAGCATCGACATGGAATCAAATTGCAAACCTGCTTTAAACAACTATACTGGCACACAGTGGATGCTCAATAAATATTTCCTTTTTTCATGTATTCTTTTAAAAATAACAGCAACATTTTTTGAACATCCACTTTATCTATTTTAGGATGTGGGAAGCCTGACTTGACAGGGAATCGTGTGAGAAAAGGTCTGAGCTGACCACAGGCATGAATCTGCACTGTGGTAACTGTCGCTACACAGGGAAATGCTCACTGAAGCTGTATCTGCCTGGGGAGGGCATGGTGTCACGCTATTCTGAGTTGTTCTGTAGAGTTGCTTCCTCTCCCAGGTGCCTCCTTCATGCAGGACTAACAAGTCCGATGCTGTCTAAAGCAGGGTAAAGAGAGTAGTGAGGGGACTGAAGACCATGGAATATGAGGAAAGGTCAAGGGACGAGGGGACAAGTCTACCTGAAGAGAAGACTGACCCAGACTAAAAGAACCATCTTCGAAAGGCTGAAGGGTTTCTCCACACAGAGAGAAGACATTCTCTCCCACACTACAGGGAGCACAGGGACGAGAACGGTATTAGGGTGCAGCACGACGGCCGCACTGCCTGCTGCTGTCCTGGGCTCACAGTAGATGAGGGGACATGACACTGCAGAGGGTTTCTGAGCCCGCGGTCTCATCATCCTGCTCTCGTCCCCTCAGTCAAACTCAGGGCGGCAGTTTCTGAAAAGCTTTCACCCCTAGGTGGTGGGGGTGGGAGGAGACTTCTAAATTATGCTGCTGAATTATGAGCCTCAAGCTCCAGCAGCGCTGTCCTCCTGAGCTCTGGCACAAAGCTGTCACCGTTCCCTCACAACTCTGCAGAGCGCCCTCTAGTGTGACTGCGTGGATATTTTCCAACATCTCCTTCCTCAGGGAGGCAGCTGTCAGGTAGAGAAACCGGCTGCTCCAAAGGAAAAAGGAGGCAGGTGCCTGCTTTTTAACACGTAGCCGTATTATTTGTTCAGTAAACGCTCAGATGCAAGACACTCTACCAAGCAATATGGAAAACTGTGGGTGTTCATAAATACTTGTCTCCGTTGTTCATTTATTAATTTAACATCATCCAGTCCTTCCATCTGCCCCATCCTCCGTTCACCACACACCCTCCCCTCTCATGCAGTATTAACATGCACGCATACATGCACTCACATATATGTACCACCCTCCCACCATGAAGCTGTCCAGTTTGATTATAGCTGTGCGTTTTACACAAGCCCTTGATTAACCGAAGCCGAGGGATCCCAGCGGTTACCTCCTTGCCGTTGTCTGTGCGAATGCAGTTCTTGTCCGGGTTCAGCTCCACCACTCTAGCTTTGACCCATTCTACACCAGATGGAATCACACTCGCTGTGGGACGGCCAGATGAGGACAACTGTTTGGCACCAGCACCCACCAGCGTCCATATTGGCTGGTAGAAATGTCTCTGAGAAACAAAGTATTTGGAGATTCATTTCAATTTGAGGCTGATGAAAGTGTCATAGTTAAAGGTACATGGGCTAGATTCTCAATTATGCCCTCCTGACCCTTGGAATATTGCATAGAAAGTCTCTGGGTGGTCCTCCCCACCCCCTCCCACTGGTGTCTCCGATTACGTTAAACTCTGAAGGGTAGTCACCTACAAGAATTCTGCCAAGCTCATCGAAAAAAGCCAAAAACTGTTTAGTGACCATTGTATTACTTCTTGCTGACGGTTGATTTGGGGTTTAACATGTACATTACACACACACACACACAAATTATGGATACACTTATGTGCACAGGTATAAAGAAATATTAAGCCCAGCAGCCTAAATATGGTTCCTCAGAAGTTTGTGGGGACTGCGCTAAGCGTGAAAAGTTTACAGCCCCTCTGGGGATCCTCAAAACTTCACTAACTTCCAACTGTGTTTGCAGAGCCTGTGGAAGACACAGATATTCCCCGCCAGCCCTATTAGCCCTCTTCTCCTGTCTCAGAGGTTTTACACCCAAAGCCAGGAGGCACCAAATGCTACCCTATAATGCCCCATCCACCCAAACTTCCACTATTTTTCGGAGTTCTCTTGCTTCCAATGACTCACTCTGGATCTAAGTTAGTTGTGCAAGTTCGAGGCTCAGGGGCGAAGGGCAGCTTGGTTTAATGTCGCTGAGCATTCCCGTTCTCTCAGGGAGTGCACTGGGGACCACGAGTTCTCAGCATCGCCCAAACACCTCAAACTGGCTGGACAGAATTGCCAGCACCCACAGAGAGGTGAAGAGAAGGGAGGGATGGCCTCGCGATCTCCCTGCAGTCCGAGGACAGGGGGCAGAGAGCCGAATGATTTCAAGTCGATCTTGAACAGAAAGAGGAATGAAAACACAAGCCCAGGTTTTCTGGGGACTACATACAAGCATCAGCTCCAGCAATCACTGAACCAGACAGAGGGAACGTGCCACCCGCCTGAGCCCCTGCAGCTCCTTTGAGAGACACTCCTGTGTTGCATGTCCTCTCGGGGCAAATCAGACATGCTTCTGGCCTCCTGAACTGTGTCCAGTGCCTCTGTCTCATTATAAGGAGTAGCCCCTGCCCATGGGCCAGCTACAATAGTCCACCTGACACAGCTCTCAGACCACCGTTGTGTATAATGTTGTCCCTGACTTAGTCACTTTACAAAGGAAAGTAACAGAGAACACCCTCCAGTCTCCTCTCAGATCACAGCACACCTGTCAGAGATGGCAACAAAGCCGGAGCGGCCTCACTGGGCCTGGGGAGACGTCTTGGAAAGCAGTGTGCCCTCATGCCCTCCCCTCCCCACCAAACAGGCGCCAGGTCCACTCTGCTCCCGGCCCCCAAGGATTCAGTTCCCAGCCGGCACATGCCTGGCTCCTTAGGAAACATCAGACAAACCACCAAAAATCTTGACTATTTACCTGCAGCTTTTGGACAATTTTTAAGTGTTTTTCATGAAATAGTGCCTTACATACAAACACTTCTCAACTTCCCTCCTGGTGTTTACTACCTTTTTCTGCCTTATAATCTGTTTAAAGTTAAATTTCTGAAACCCAGTGACACCTTCCCGGAGGCCCCCTGGTCCTTCACTCATCACATTATCTTCAGACTGGACCAGAGATTGGAAAGTGCAGTGACCATCGATTTTCCTCTGGACACTGTATGGGAGGGGGAGAGCTTCATGGATACACTGAAGTCCTAACCTCAGTACCTAGAAATGTTACCTTATATGGAAACAGGATCTTTACAGATGTAATCAAGTTAAGGGAACTATGAGAGAATATGTATCTGTTGTTTTAAGACACTCAGTTAGGCTCTGGCCGGTTTGGCTCAGTAGTTAGAGCCTCTGACAGCAGACTGAAGGGTCTTGGGTTCAATTCCTGGTCAAGGGCACATATCTGGGTTGCAGGTTCAATCCCCCACCCCAGTCGGGGTCATGTGTGAGGCAGACAGTCAATGTTTCTCTCTCCCTCCCTCCCTCCCTTCCACTCTATCTAAAAATCAATGGAAAAATATCCTCAGGTAAGGATTAACCAAAAAAAAAAAGACATGCAATTTGCGGTAATATGTTATAGCAGGCCTAAGAAACATACAGAGAAGAAGAACATAAAAAGCCAAGAGATTTGTCCCCTCTCTCCCTTCCTCCACCTTCTCCAATTTTTTTGGGCTGCCTGACTTTTGTGCCCAGAAGGAGAAACACTAACCTGGAACCCGGGGACATGACAGCCCAGTGCCTGACAGGCATCCCACCCACCTCCTAGCCCACACGCTCATGCACGCACACTCATGCACTCAGAAGGGGGGAACTTACCTCACTGGGCTCAACGATGGCCACATTCTCTGCACCCACTCTCCTCTTCATACGGGAGGCCATGGTGATCCCACCGCTGCCCCCGCCCAGCACCAGCACCTCATAGTGGTTCTTGGCTGCGAGGCCGGTGTCTGTGTGCAGCTGAAGTGGGCCGGCCTGCTGAGCGCCCAGCCTGAGGAAGCAGGTGAAGAGCCGGGCACGGGGGCTGGACACCCCGGCAACCAGCGGGGTCATCTTCTCACTGGATTTGGCTGGAAAGGAACAGGCTGGGCTGAGCACAAGGATCACTGTGCAACCAAGGCATTTTCTTTCCAGAGGAAGGGGCAGCTGGCATCTGGCCAGCTCCAGCTGGTGCCCCCCCCATCTCCCCTCAAAACCACCTCCCCAGCTGGCTGTGGTCCCAAAGTCTCCTGACAGCATAACATTGGTAACTAACCATTGGCTAAGCTCCCATTTCTCCCCTTCCTCCTTCTTTCAGGATGTCTAGGACTTTTTTGTCCATCCAAAAATTCTAGGGCCTCCTGTGGTGCGTCCAGCTGCCACCCATCCCCCACTCGGGCACATGCCTCAACTCTTTCTCTGGATTTTCAGTCCATCAAAGATGTATGAGTCCACAGACCGACAGACACCTGTGCAAGTCCTTGCCATAGGGCCCCTAAGACCGTGCTGAGACAAATAGTCCTGCAAGAAACCCACCTTCTGCAACTCAGAGTTCACACCAAGGACATCAGTGCCTCGGCCCCACTCAGAGCCTCCGGGCTCTGCCTGCCCAGGAACACGCAATTTTAGCAAATCACAGGCTACAGACATGCAAACAAAGGCCCTCCACACCTTTGACAATTTCAACCAGATGACAGAAGAGCCCTGCCTGGTATCATAAAGATATATTTTATATAAAGAATCTGCACATGTTGCTGACCAGTCTTTTATTATATGTAACCAGTAAACAATCTCCTTTTTTTTTATCCTCACCCGGGGATATTTTTGCATTTATCTTCAGATAGAGTGGGAGGGAGAGAGTGGGGAAGAGAGAGAGACAAACATCGATGTGAGAGAGACACATCGACTGGCTGCCACCACCCACACGACCCCAACCGGGGCCGGAGACAAACTGCAACTGAGGTACGTGCCCTTAGCAGGAACCGAACCCAGGTCTCTCTGGTCCGCGGGTCAACACTCTAAACTGCTGAGCCAAACTGGCCAGGCCAATCTCCTCTTAACAGTGCCTCCGAGATGCACTCTGAGCCTTCGGAAAGGGCAGTTCTGCTCTGAGCACTCAGCGCTTTGGCAGTGAGGACATGAAGGCTTCTCAGACACTGGCCTGGGCTTCACCCCACCCTCGGAACTGGCCTGAAGTCTTGGACACCCTTTACTAGCACAACTTGAAGGGCCCAGACTCCAAATATCTCCCTCTCTGGGTATTACCCAGCCCCAAATTCCACCATCAAGTTCAGTCCTTTGAGTTCAACACTGCTCCAGGAACCCTTTATTCAAATGCCAGGACCCAGCTGTAGGTAACACCTCTAGCTGCTCAGGTCACTAACTTCTTAATGGGGCTGATTTAATTACAGTCAAACCTCAGTTCTCCAACATCTCCGGCTGGACCTACAACCCTTTCAAGCTGATATATCAGCATGACAAAAAGCGTCTCTCAGGCCACAAAGGAGAGAATGTGAGTCAGTTTACCCCTAAACCTCCTGTTGTTAACATCTCAGAGAATTGTGCTGTGAATATTCTTGTGTTTCTGTTTTTTTGTTTGTTTGTTTTTTGCTTTTTGCTTTTGCTGCTGGTGAAATGGATGATTAGCACAATTTTAAAACAGAGAGGCCATGGAGAGTGCTGTTACAAAGGGTGTGAGAGAAACAATGACCACAGGCAACTGAAGAGGTAGAAAAGCTGTTGTTGATTTGGATAAAGGTAAAGTGGTTAGCAGTGACAGCATCTCCAAGGCAGTGATAGTGAAAAAGCCATGATGCACATACTGTATGACCTCCTGAAAGACACCCCTGGAATGTGTGCCCTAGGTGACTCGTTTAAGGCCAGTAGGGGTGGGGTGGGGTGGTAAGTTTAAGAAAAGAAGTGTTTGTTTAAAGATTAAACAGTGCATTACACGTGTACTGTATATAAGAAAGGTTAAAATGGAATCATTTGGTGGTCTGGAGTGAATTAATTCAATTATATTATTTCTAATGAGAAAAAAAGGATTCGGTTTTCAAACAAATCATTTCTCAAACAGCCTTCCGGAAGGAATCAAGTTTGAAAACTCAAGGTTCCACTGTACATCATTTTCCCCAAAAACTGGAGAAGCAGGAAGCTCCCCGAGGGGATCAGAGGACACTGGGAGGGAGAGAGGGCCCTGAAGGGAAGAAGGAGACGCCCCGGAGGGGGGAGGAGGGGCAGGAAGTGGAAAGGAGGAGCCACAGGGCTGACTTTAATTAGGATGAATTTATTCCGGTGTCCTGGCACCCTGACAACTTCCGCAACATTTCAGATCTGAAGCGACTCGGTCCCAGAAACTAAGGCAGATTCATACATTGTTGCTGCAAGTTTGAAATCTGTGTGACTCTTCTAGAAAACAACATTTATCCTTCTTTGCCCTTGTATGTCCATTTCTGGGACTCTGGTCTAAGGAAATAACCTCTAATATGAAGAAGACAAACCTTTACAAAGATGTATCTCACATATTCATTCATAGCATAGAGTCAAACCTCAGTTAACTGGCTTGTGGATGGGATCTGATTACGTCCGGGTCACAGAAAAAAACTCCACACTGACCGGGGAAAGCACAGGTCCCAGACTGCTTCAAACAAGGTTAATTTGAGATTACTTCGATTTAATATGGGGAGCTGGGGGGAGGACAGGGATAGCAGTCTGAACGTCAAAACTTGGGGGAAAGGTTAAGTAAAAAATGGTTGCACAAGATGATTATATAAAGCTATATAAAAGACTATATAAGTCCTTCCAAATTATGTTTGCAAAGAGCATAATAAATACTTATGTTATGATCAGTACTGTATACAAATGGGAAATGCAATGAGCTCAACTATGTAAGAGAAAATGCACTAAAAAAAGAGCGAAAGGCCCTGGCCGGTTTGGCTCAGCGGTTAGAGCGTCGGCCTGCGGTCCTGAGAGACCCGGGTTCGGTTCCCGCTAAGGGTGCGCATCTCGGTTGCAGTTTGTCCCCGGCCCTGGTCGGTTGTGTGGGTGGCAGCCACTCGATGTGTTCCTTTCACATCAATGTTTCTCTCTCTCTCTCTCTCTCTCTCTCTCTGTTCCTCTCTCTCCCTCCCACTCTACCTGAACAAAAAATGGAAAAATGTCCTCGGGTGAGGATAAAAAAAAAAAAAAAAGAAAAGAGCAAAAGGTTAACACTGGGTGAGTGGTTTTCGAATAATGGGTGGTTTTCAGTCTTCTGCTTTTCTATATTTTATAAAATTTTTACTATATACATATATTAATGTTATAATGATAAAATATTTTTCCTTTATTAAATTTATTGGGGTGATACTAGTTAATGAAATTATAATGGTTTCAAGTGTACATTTCTATGACACATGACCTGTATATTGCATTGTGTGCCCACCACCCAAAGTCAAATCTCCTTTCATCACCATACACTTGACCCCTCTACCCTTCACTACCTCCCCACCCCTTTTTCCTTCTGGCAACCATCATATTATTGTCTGTGTCTATGAGTTTCAGTTTTATACCCCACATATGAGTGAAATCATATGGTTCTTAGCTTTTTTCTGCCTGACTTATTTCTCTTAGTATGATATTCTCAAGATAAAATATTTTGATGATAATAACTAGCATATATTAAGTCCTTTACATAAGTGCTTAACTTGTGAGTTGGCTGCCATTATTATCCCCATTTTACAGACGATAAAAATGAGGCAGGGAGTAGTTAAATAACTCCCTCAAGGCCATACAGCCTGTAGGTGGTAGACAGTGATTTCAACCCGGCACTCTGGTCCCTTCTTTAAATCCCTACACTCTATATCTCTGTGATCTTTATCAACAATGACAAAATAATGCTAATGTGATGGTTAAATGAGAAAAAGATATATTTCCCACACTTGCCAGAAAAAATAATCCATTTTTCATAATACTGACACTTAAATAAAAGCGATGTTTTGATATAACTAAAATTCAGGTTTTCTTCTTCTTTGTATGTGCTTTTCTCAAGTTTTCTTTAATGAACTCTACTGTTCTAAATTTTTTAAATCACTCAATTTCATTTTTATTTCTTATGATTGAGAAGTGGAGGAAATCGTCAATTAGGATGTTGCTGTTTGGTAGGGAAAGAAAAAGATACTTTACAGTGAATCGAAAACTGTCACATCTTCTTTCTAAAATGTCCATAGAATGACAGAATCACAATGAAACTCCTCACTTCCCAGAAAAGGGAAACCATGTTTTCATGATCCTGACCCTACAAGGAGTCCTGGCTAAGTTTCCAGTTCCAGCCACTCGGTCTGAGGTTGACTCCCACTGCCCGAGCAGCCTAACATCCTATGGTTCTTCTCTTTAAAGCAGCAGCACTTATGCAGATATTTCCCTCATTCAGCCAAGAAGGTAAGTTCTGTTTTATTTCAGCAGTTATCTGTGGCCCATTTCTGGAATCGGTGTTTATAAATACAAAGTCCATCTGAACCAGTTTTATGAACTTCATTAATAACAGCTGTCAAGCAGAATGCCTGGCCTTTGCCGTCAAATTTCATTTGTAAAGTATAAATAATTTCAAAAACACACAAAAACATGTGAGAAGAAGTGTTCTAAGTTTCAAACTCTTGGAAATCTCAGTAACACTCTCACTCTAGTGATATAAAGCCATCTAAATAAACTTCCAGGTCAGAAAAACCAGAACCTAATCTAATGCTGTTTGTGGAGAAGGTATGATACCATGTCAAAGACTACAAACAATCAGGCAGTAATACATAATCAGAATTACATAATAGCCCACTTCAGAACTGTGGTATAAATATATATAAATAGATACACACACACACACACACACACACACACACACATAATTTTTTGGACTTTGTCCCCAATCCTGGCACAAAGCTCCTAAATCCCTTGGAATTTCCTGAGTGAAAAGAGTTATTTGTTAGTCAATAACAAATAAGAATAATAGCCTTGGCAAGTTTGGCTCAGCAGTTAAAGTGTCGGCCTGAGGTCCGGAAAAACCTGGGTTCAGTTCCCGCTAAGGGCACGTACCTCGGTTGCAGTTTGTCCCCGGCCCTGG